ATAAAGTAAACAGGGCTGTGGAAGAAGGTATTTAGGACACCTTTCATAGCATTACAGAATGAACACACAGCATACATACATACACACATGACATTTACACATAAAATACGATTCATTCAGATTAATCTACACCACAGCAAGGCTGCTACAGCAATCTTATGTTGACAACTTGCTGAAGGAAAAGTAAGTGAACATTTAGAAGCACTTCTTGAAACCTGGTATTTTGTTTGTTTATGGTTTTCTTTTTCCAGTAGTGGATGAATTGTGAGTGTTCAAAACAGAGCTCCTAATATTCAAATAAATGTACTTAAATAAAGTATTGACATGTCAGAACATGAAAATTATGTTCTTATTAACTGATTACTCAGCAAATTAATTGATCAGTAGTAAACGGTTAATCATATTGTTACTATGCGTTATCAGTTCATTCCCTATTTATATTATACTTCATTATCATGGTCTGAGAAGGTTTGTTGCTATATTTGTGTGTTGGGTTTAAGCGTGAAACTGAACTAAGAATACAACAGGATAATGACAGGAATAGAAACTATCAAGAGAGGGGTTATAACTTGCTATGTTTATGGGCAGACAGATGGAGTTCTTGCATGAGCTTAATGGCATGCTTCACTGTTCCTGGTGCTGCTGTTACACCATAACCTCCATGTCCGTAGTTATGCACAATCTGTCAACATAAAGGTTTCTGTTTTAGTTTTCTGGTCTGCACTATACATATGGCTGTTTGCTGACAGTTTAACACTACTGAAAAATTATATGATCTTTCACTATGAAATTTCTTGGTTCATCACCTGCATAGTGATAACAGAACTGGAAATGTGTTACTAATCTAGCACAGTGTGTGAATCAGTTTCTGAGCTCCAACTTGCCAGTGGAAGGTACAGAGGCCTTTCAAGATGTCTTACCTTCAACTTCCCAAGTGTCTCTGGTTCCACCCGCACAATGCTGCGATGAGGGCGAAGTCCAGCACACTCTCGTAGAACTCGGAGCCTTTTGCAAGCTTGGGGTCAGCTTGAAGCACCTTTCCTTTATGGCAGCACTGTCATGGTGAC